ATAAAATTGAATTGAATTGTATTGAATTAAATGTTGTATCACTCCCTGCTGTGTCTGCAGGTTACTACAGGGATGACCGCAGCCAGTTCCCCTACGAGCGGAGGCCCCAGTCCAGAGCCTACGTGGGTCCTGGTCAGGGGGACTTCTACTACTGTGGGGGGGCGTTCGGAGGCCTCCTGCAGGAAGTCCACCAGCTCGCCAAAACCTGCCGCTCCAACTTCGAGGCTGACGCCAAGGAAGGCATCGAGGCTGCCTGGCAGGAGGAGAGTCACCTGAACAGGTAGGCAGCAGGATAGTTACTTGAACAGGTAGGTTAGATGAGAGTCACCTCAACAGGTAGGCAGGAAGAGAGTCACCTGAACAGGTAGGCAGGAGGAGAGTCACATGAACAGGTGCTGACCTGTGTTGTATTTTCTACTTCCTGGTCCTGTGTGTTCAGGTACATGTGGATTAACAAACCCAGTAAGGTGCTGTCACCTGAGTACCTGTGGCAGGACTTCAAACCCAGGAACGCTGAGGTCTACATCGTCAGGTTCTCCGGAGTCGTCAAGAACTACGCTGAGATCCGACCCAACGTCTGACAGTCCGGACTGAACCGGACTGGACTGAACTGAAACGGTTTGAAAGGTTTTGGAAAATCCACACAACTGGTTTGCACCTGTCTCTATCCCCTGAGGCTTACCCACAATCCACCTCTTTGCCTGGTCTCTGGCTGTCAATCAAGATTGAACACTGATCACTACAGACTCAGGACCTTCAGCTAACTTCGGCTCTACTGAGCGTGTGCAGCTCTTACACCAACAATCAGACTGTTGACCCCGCCCACACTAGCACCTGTTTCTACCTGTGCAACAGCGACTGCTCTTATCACATGAGTCGGTATTCTCCGTTTGATCGGTCTCAAAATGAACAAATTTATTTTCAAAATGTTTGTGATTTAATGTCAATAAACAGATCAATATGATGATGAAATAACGACATCATGATGGAGATTTGTAAAAAGTCTGAATTCAGAGTCGTTCTGTCTGCGAGACTTTTAAAATGCTTGTTTTCTGAATGGAGTCGTTTGGTGGGAACATTAGTACCTCTGAGTAGGTGACCTACACTGCTCTTGAATGCATCCTGTGTTATAAAGCTGCTGTTTTTTTGTGAATGAGGCTAGTGCTCATTTGAAACTTTATAAGTTAAAAAACATTCTCCATCAAGTAGGTTTAGTAATTTTAAGTGACACTGACAGAATTTTTTTTGTAAACCATGATGATGATTTTGTGGCAGAGCCTAGTTGGTGTCAGAATACAAACACGAGACCGAACGCTGTAAAATAAATGACAATCATATTTAATGTAATCTGTAATGTTTCTACGACACAAAGCTGCTGCGTCGGAAAGCCACCATTAGCTTTGTACTGTTAGCATGAGCTAACACTATCCAGCTAAAACCAATATCACATATATTCCAGTCTTTGCAGCAATGTTAGCTTTGACTTTGAGCTTTATGTTCCAGTGGGTGTCGGCCGTTTGTGGACGTTAGCAAAACTCCATTTCAACAAAACAACAGGACAATAATTCATTTATTCTGGGAAACTCCCGGTTTCTCTCCGTAACTTGTTAACGCAGAGACGTTACCATGACGTCCGCTCCTGATTGGCTGATGTAAACGAGAAATATTACATATGAAATCTGTGTAAACTTATCACACAAGATGACTGGACGCTAAAGCTACAAACAGCAGATTTTCTCTGTAATCACACAACAAGCTAACTAGCGTAGCTTTACTATCTCTGCCATCTCAGCCTTTACTGCAATTCACTTGAATTGTGAAAATGCCTTTATGATGCATTCATTTGCAGAGTAATTGATTATTGATTTGAACAGTGTAAACATAAAATGTAAACAGGGAGACAGATGCTAACAGACGGGCTAACTGTGTTTTCCCTTGAAGCAGGTTGCAGTCGCAGTTTTATCCAGGTTGGCTGTTAAAATAATTAAATTGCCATGAACAAATGAGATCAAATTAAGACATTTTTCATTTAACCACTGAGCTAATGTTTGTTAGCCGCTGAGCTAACCCACCATGTATTTATTTGATGTGTGTGAATGTACAGCAGCAGATTGTTTGTGTCCACAGGACGAGACGACCTGTTCACTGATGATCGTGATGTTGATTTATTGTCTTCCTCTCTGGTGGTTGATTTCAGGGAATTAAATAATAAATAATCATTTGTTACATGAAAATAATTTGTTCTGCTTCATGTTTTCAGATTTTCCTTCTGTGGTTTGAATGTAAATATTTATCATTTATATATATATATATATATATATGTATAATGTAATATGAATGTAATGTAATTCAGTAATGTTTTATTAGAAGAATAGATGAATTATATAGAGAGCGGCTGTAAACTCACTGCTGGAGCCTCTAGTGGACGTTAGAGGAACTGCAGCTTCTGACCCGACTGATAAAAGTTCCTCAGACAGGCAGTAAAACACAGCTTAGATTATGACTCATTGGTTAGTGATCGATGACTGTAAACTCAATTTATGATTTATGGTGTCAGATCAATTTCAACACATCTAAATAAAATAAGTAAGAATGTTCATTAATCCTCAGAAAAGTTGTTTTAGTGAACTTAAATGTGTTAAGTATTTAAATGATTGGTGATATAATTATTCCGGTTTGTTCCACTGACTAATTTTCTTTAAGTTGACTTTATATGATTATTATATATATATATATTATATATTATATTATATATTACAGAAACAGAAGCATTAAAGCTCAGAACAGGAAAGTTTTTATTAAACATTAATCATCCTAAACTCGGCCCAAAGAATTCTTAATGAACAGCCAAAGTCTAAAGATTTGATCTTTGTCACATAAAACACAAATTAACTGGCTACCAATAGATAATCATTGAATAATCAATAGTTTTTATGGTCCGTCAGTTGTTTGACAGGTGATGTAATAATTTGCTTTAGTGGAAGAAAAAAAATTCAACTTGGTTGCACTTGTATAAAGAAGATGTATTTAAGTGACTATTGGGTAGAGGTAGAGGGGATGGGGTTTACCCCTGAAGAAGGTGGGGTTGTAGTTTGTCACTGTAACCACTAGAGGACAGCGATTCATGATTATTTCTGTTTGTGAACAGGAAGGAAGAGAGAGAATCCAGACAGAAAGACACAGGACACAAAGTGAAGACATCAGATCACA